GGGTCCATCTCTCCACATCACGGTGCTCCTCTTTCAAGTCCACTGCCTCTGTTACTGGTGAGGGGTCTTCAGGGCACAACTCCTTCCTTTCAGCCAAGGCAGCAGCCCTGCTTCTGCTGTGAGGCTTTGGAAACTCCTGGCTGTGCCTCCTACCAGGTCTCCGCTCTGGTCGCCGGCTAAAGCCCCTGGGCCCCCTGGAGCCGTGGAGCAGACGACAGGCTTCCTCTGCCGGTTCCTGCAAGCTGCTGCACAACTGCCTGCCCTGGCCTCTGGGGCCTGGCCTCTCCCCTCTGTACCTTTCCCTCTTGCTCTGTTGCTCCCTGGGCACAGCAGGCCCCTCGGGCCGCCCGGGTTCTGCCCTGGCCTCCGGTGCCCCGGCTGGCTCTGGAGCCGAGGCTTGGCTGGGCGGCTGGGGCACGTCCACAGCGCTTGCGCTCACCGGTGGCTCAGAGGCAGCAGCTGCTTGGCTTGGATCAACAGCAGCTGGAGGCTGAAAGAAAGAAGCCACTGGTTAAGAAAGGGACAGGGCAGTGCCACAGCCGACGACAGCGCTCGGTCCTGCAGTCCAGGGCCCCCCTCGCCAGCTCTCCGCCCCGGTGCCATACCGCCTGGAGGCTGATGAAGTAACGGTTCCTCTCTGCTTCAGGGTCAATGATGCCCCCTTTCTCTTGCTGTCTCTTGAAAATTAAGCGCAGTTCTTCTTGGTGCTGCAGCGTCTTGGCATCTGGCCTGTACGGCTCCTGAGCGGCAGAAAGCAAGGCGGGGTAAGGGCTCTCTCAACACCTGGCACGGGTAGGCAGCTGGCAGTGCTAAGAGCTACTCCGCAAACCCTCCTTTGATCACTCAAGGGACACAGGATACGGAGCTCATTTCATGGTCTAGGAGGAGAAAGCTCAGGGCTATACAACTAAGCCTGCTCTTTGTGGACACATCAATCAGTCAGGAGACACCCTGCTAGGTTTTATGAACTGCCCTTTGGATGGGCTGCCTAGGAGGACCTGAGAGCATGCAGCGTGTGTTCACTCATCTGTTATATTGTCCCAGTTGAAGCTACCCAGCGAGCGGGCACAGCTGGGCAGGTGAGCCCCCACCTCTTACCAGCGGGTGCTGCGGGGGCGGCGCTGCCTTCAGAGCACAGAGATCGTAGACCAGGGTCTCCCGGCAAACGGGGCACTGCACACCGACTTCCTGCGGGGAGGCGAGAGGTGATACCAAACCCCGGCCACGACCCAGCCCACGTGCTGCCGGATAATCCCCGGCCTGGAAGCGGAACAGGGTGGCCTTCTTTTCTTTTCTGCCAGGGCAGTGAAAGCCAGGGGGGTTCCAGCAGCATGAAAGCAGTCTGGTGCCTCAGTGACTGTTACGGAAGGTGTCTCCACCACGAGGCACGCCGGGATTTGTGCTCCAGCGGCTGACCGCTGTACAAACCACCTCTGTCAGCACATACGGCTCCAGTCCTCCTTAGCCTAGGATCTATTTTTCCCCACTCCAAAGCGGAGCGTGTCATCTAGGCAACGCCTCTTTGAAAGGGTTTTGCCGGAAGGAGCCTTTGACTTGTTTCACACTCAACTGCGCTGTTTGCTCTGCGGCTGACAACTGTTCCAACACCTGCTCAGGCAGGTTTTATCACCCCAGAACACAGGTGATCCTGTTTATCCTGCCGCACACCCCTGCAGTTCAAGGACTAGGGAAGGAGCTCTCTCTTCTAACTCCTGTGGTTCCAGAAGTCCAAAAATGCTACCAACTCCCCTGCCCCCTCACACAGCAGGCCCTGACCCAGAGATCCAATAAACCAACTGCTAAAGTACTAAAAGCCCACAGGGTAATTTTGGTTGGAAGGGGCCCTCGGAGGTCACTTGGTCTAATCACTGCTCTGATTCTCGATGCAGGCACGACACTGACCGTGCTGCCAGGTCAGGCTAGCCCTCGCTCCATGTCCCAAAGGGGGTGACAGAGACGTCATGAGGGCCTGTGCAGGGGGCGGGGGGGAGAGCCCAGGGCCCGGTACCTGTTTGGGGGATGGCGCCAGGTGCTGCTCTCTCTCCTCCTGTTGCATGAGGATCTCCTCCTCCATGTGCTGGGCGTAGCGGGCCAGGCAGTGGGAGTGGAAGTAGTGGTAGCACTTGGTCTTTGTGAAGGCTTCTCTCTCCTGTAGAGGAGAAAGGGCAGCTTTAAAGGGTTTCTGAGCACAGGGTTGTGTAGCCTCCCCAGCTGAGATGGGCTTTCGCTCCCATGTCAGCGCTGGCAGTGGGGAACTAGCGCTATTGCTGGCAGAGACACATAACATCATCTGCTGGGATTCATCTCTACCTCCTCAGCTCTTTCTGGGACATCGCTCCCTATTCCGAGATTGAGAAATACTCCTAATGTCAAGCTGCAAAGCTTTTGTGGCTGATTTAGCTGCATATGTTCCCATGTAAGCAGCAATCTTCCCACCTGATGTGTTCTTCCCAGGCAGGCACCGCCTCTCCTTGCAACATGGACAAGGCAAACTCCTCTGTCCCCGCAGACCTCAGCACCCGCATGGATGTGTTCCAGTCCCTCCTGACCACCTGTGTGCTGAACTCCAGGTGAAGTTTGACCAACACAGGGAAGCTGAGATGAACGAGCAACTATCCCCCGACCCTACCTACTCCCTTGGAGACGCTCCGGCATCACTCGCTGCCCCTATACTCTGTTTCTGTAGATGGTTATCTTCAGGCTGACTGGAAGAGTAGCATATACTGCCTTAGGAAGGTTCACGCTGAGTAGGACTGCCTACAGACCAGGGGGGCAGGGGGCTGCTGAGGCACACCCCGGTCCCAGGCCAATATGCCAAGCTTTGAGCCCCAGGCTCCCTGTTCTCTTGCCTCGCTTCCCAGCCAGCTTGCGGGGCTGGGGGACACGTTCCTACCTGGAATCCGTAGAGGCAGATCACACACTGGCCATGAGGAATGTTGTTGTCAGTGAGAATCTCCTTCCCCTTCTGCGGGAGCATTAAAGCAAACATTTTGCTCACTGGCCTGCCCATGGGCGCAGGGCCATCCCACCCCTCGGGCAGTCAGGGACCAGTGTCCATGGCTGGTGACCCCCAGTCTCCCCCAACTCTCACCTCAATCAGTTCGTAGAGCACCTCTGTCCCCAGCCCAGCTTCAGCAACACTTCTGAGGGTCTGGGATATCCTACAGCAAAGCAGCAGAAACACTTAACACAAGTTTAGCCATGCCTTTTCACTATCCCACATACCTGTCACCCCACCATGATGACAGGAGGAAGAAATAGAGCACTGGCCTTCAGGCTTTGCCTGCAGCATGGGATGAGCACATGTGCACACACATATTCACGTGCTCCCCACAAGCCAGTGCACAGGAAGCCTTTGTCCTCAGAGGACTTGCAAGAGCAGGTCTGCGTGGCTCCTTGGCTTGAGCTCACCCAGCACCCTTCAGTTTTGGTGAACCTCAGGTTTCGTTTGTCTGACAGCAGCCCCTGAGCAGGTGTGCTGGGAGCCACGTTACTCCTGTGCTGCCGGCAGGTACCAGGGTCTCTCTGCACACACTGCTGCACCAAGGACAGGAGCACAAAGGCAACAAGGGGCTGCCCAAGGACTCGGTTCAGTCCCACCTCTGTCAAAGCAGGACCAACAGCTTCAAAGGCCCAGGGGATTTAGATTGCAATTCAGAGGGACCACAGGGGAACAACCACAGGGCAGACCCCTCGGTGTCAAACTCGGCACCAGCAGCTCCCATGAGATTTAAGACAAGGTGATTTAGGGACCTGTATCCATCCATTAACCGGACACGGGGAGCCACATGAATTTGAGAGAAGGCTTTTCCACCAGTTCTGCCTCCCGGGTCTCTGGAGGAAAGGATCGCCCTCTCCCCTCCCTCCTGGCACTCACTTTTGAATTTGCTCATCTGACAGCCCCCGTGGGTTCCTGATCGAGACTTCCGGAGCTTTGTTGGGATACT